CCTGGTTAAAGAAATAGGCACGGAGGCGGCTGAAAAACTGTTTGACATCCAAACGTGAACGGAATTCATTGATGTGTGGGTGCAGGAGAATGAAGGTGAGTCCGTTGCTGAGGACTGACCGTTTGTCCTCAGTGAGGGGGAGGTCTGGGGGGATGGTGAATACCCTGCAGGGCTTAGGGCTGGGGCTAGGTGTAGAGCTGGTTGTAGAGCTGGAGCTGTGTGTCGGGGTGAACCTAACTTGTTGAAAGCAATATTGAGTCCAGAAGGCTGTGAAGTGTCAAATGGAATGATGTGTTGTCTTTAAGACTGCATTCAGTATCACTGGAACACTAGTAGGTTACAAACACAAGGGGCAGCATGGGTATAAGGTGAAAATTTGAAATGAAAAGCAACCATAAGCTCAGGATCACACTTGCAGACTGAAAGTAATGTTTTCACAAAGTCATAAGTCAGTCTGTTTGGTCTTTCTAAAGTTGAGGAGAGCACATTGAGAAGCAAATAAATCTTTGTTTTTTTTTAACTTAAAAACATGGTCTTTTACCTGGTCCTACTGGTGTAGAGATCCATGTCCGTCCTTTTTGGAGACTGGGCCATGGTCAGTCCTGTAGGTCAAGTGCAATTAGTCTGGGGGTTGTCAGTCAGAGCTGTGGAGGTACCATTCTGCAGTGTTGCACTGGGAAAGGGTTTTTTCCCCCCTGCATTGAGACATAGGGAAGGACTGATGGAAGTGGATGGAAAAGCCTTTGGTTGTGATGGAGCAGCAGGAGAGGTTGTGAGGAAGCCCCAAAGAGTAAGTAGAAAACACAGGGCAAGAAGGGCTAGTGGTCCTCAAGGATGGTGTAGGTAAGGACTGTTGGGTGGACGTGATGCATGTAATAACAAAAGTTGTAATCAATGAGCCTTGGTGGGATGAATGTGCAGTGGCAGATTTGAATTGAACTGTGCTCTTTGACAGTAAGCTATCAGGGTGAGCTCGTAATCCTTGTGGAGCTCAGAGCATCGTTCACCTTTTTCCTTTTTTAACCTAGGACACACCCGTGATTCGAGTTGTTACTAGTGACTATTGGCTGTGTCCGACGATGCTGTCTCCTGCACGGGTCAAAGGAAAAAGAATCCCCTCCTTTCTACTACCCTGTCTACAAGCAGGCCATTCAGCCCTTTGAGTCTGCACCTACCCTCCAAAAAGTATCCCATCCAGACCCACTCTCCCAACCTTTCCCCATAACCCAACATTTCCCACGGCTAATCTACCTAATCCTGCATATCTTTGGACTGTGGGAGGAAACTGGAGCACCTGGAGGAAACCCTCACAGACCCAGGGAGAATGTGCAAACTCCATGTAGACCGTCACCTGAGGCTGGAATTGAACCCAGGTCCCTGCTGCTGTAAGGCAGCAATGCTAACCACCGTGCCATCCAAAAGTGATATCCTTCTCTGAACTGCCTCCCATACCAGTATATCCGGCCTTCGATAAAGGAACCAAAATACAATATTCTAGCTGTGTTCTGGCTAGTGATTTGTATAGTTTTAGCAAGCCCTTCGTATGCTTGTACACCATTCTCTTTGAAATAATGGCCAACATTCTATTGCCTTCTCTATTACCTTCTGAATGTGAAAGCTAGCTTTTAGTGATTTTTACTGATAGTGTTTTAGATTAAAAATAATTGAAAAATTTTCATTATTCATTTGAATTGGAAAATTTGTTCTCAATGACGAAGAAGTTAGTTGCTTAATTCCGCTATAAAGATTGATACTCCTGATAAGTTGCAGCAGCTGTGATCTTCCAGAATTTGCTAGCATAGTCCAATATTCATCTATAAATTAGGTCTATGAGAACAACCCTCAACAAGATTTGCACAAAAGCAACAAGAGCAGTCGGATGTTTTAGCCTCATGCTATCCCAGGACCTACTCTGGACTGAACATAACAAATAGAAACAGGAGTAGACCATGTAGACCCTCAAGCCAGTTTCACCATTCAATCTGATTGTAGCCGATCCTCTTCCTCAACTTTGTCTGCTCTCCATCTCTTTGATTTGTTATGAGACCATAAAATCTGTCCATTCCAACCATGCCAAATGGAACAGAACTCAAACAGATCCAATAACTCAAAACTGGGCATCCACGAAGCGGTGTTTGTCATCAGCCACAGTATGGTTTTCGACTACAGTTTGTCACCCCATGATCCAGCATATACCCCACTCCACCATTACAATCAGGCTGGGAGCTCAAACCTCGTTCAATGTGAGGTGCAGGAGGGCACGCCAGGCATCTGTAAATATAAGGATTCAATCCAGTGAAGCTGCAATACTGGCGACTTGAGTGCCAAACTGTGGAAAAGGCATGATATAGACAGGACTAAGTAATCCCGCAATCAATGGATAGTATCTAGGCTCTGCAGTCCCACTACATCCAATCGGGAATTGTGGTGGACAAATAAACAACTAATGGAAGGTGGAGGCTCCATACCTTGATGACGGGGAAGCCCAAACAGAGGTGAAAAATAAATTATTTCTCTTCTTCTACTCCTGAAGGCACCTGCATCATAGCAGTGTTCAACCAATTCAGTTCACCTCACATCATATCAAACATTGGCTGAAGGTACTGATTCTGCAAAGGCTACAGGCTCTGACAATAGTACTGAAGACTTGTTCTGCAGAAGTAGCCTCGCTAAGCTGTTCCAGTGCACTGATACCTATCTGACATTGTGGAAAATTGGCCAAGAATGACCCATGCACGAAAACCAAGACAAATCCAACCCAGCTAATTAATTGTATCTACCTACTCTCTTTCATCAAAGTAAATGAAGGGGTAGTCAACAGTGCTATCAAATGGAAATTGCAAAAGAATAATCTGTTCAGTGATGGTCTGTTTGTGTTCTGCCAGGACCACATGGCTCCTGACCTCATTACAATGATGATTCAAATGTGGCCAAAAGAGCTGAACTCCAGAGGTGAGGTGAGAGTGACTATCATTGACATCAAGGCAATATTTGACTCAAGAGTTGCATCAGGAATCCTAGCAAACTGGAGTCAATATGGGAAGTTAGAGTCATACCTGGCACAATGCAAGATAGTTACAATTGCTGAATATCAATTACTTCACCCTAAGATATCAAAGCAGGAGTTTCTCAGGTTAGTGTCCAAGGTCCAACCATCTTCACCTACTTCATCAATTAGCTTCCTGCATCATAAGGTTAGATTTGGAGATGCTTCATGATTGCACATTGCTCAGCATCACTTTGCAACTCCTTTTAGAGATGCTTGATGATTCCACATTGCTCAGCATCACTTTGCGACTCCACAGATACTGAAACAGTTCCTAGCAAAATATAGGATAAACTAGACAACGACTAGGTTTGGGCTTACAAATAGCAAGGAACATTTGTGCCACATGGTATGAGGCAATGACCAGTTCCAGCAAGAGAAAATCTAACCAATGGCCCTTAATGTTCGAAGGCATTACAATTGCTCAATCCACCATTGTCAATATCCAGGTAGGGGGAGGAGACACCATCGACCAGATACTGAACTAGGCCAGCCATACTGAAGGGAAGTGATGACCTAAAGGTACTATCCCAAGGCTACTAATTCAGAGATCCGCGTAGTGTTTTCAGAGCCTTGGTACAAATGCTACCATTGAGATCATGGAATTGGAAATCAATAAAAATCTGGAATGAAGAGTCTAATGATGACCATGAAATCATGGATGATTGTCAAAAAATAAAACCATTTGTTTCATTAATGTCCTTTTAGGGAAGAAAACTGCTATGCTGACCTGGTCTGGCCTACTTATGACTTCAAATCCACAGCGATCTGCCCTCTGTGCAATTAAGGATGGGCAATAAATGCTGGCCTAGCCAGCAACACCCACACACTATCAATGTACAAAACAAAACTGTTTGACTACCACCCTATCCATCAACCTCAAAATTCACTTCCTTCACCACCGAGACAAAGTGGCATCAATGTATACCGTGAGGAAATTAATCTTTATGTCAGTCCTGAATGATAAACCTGTTATCTTAAGACAATACACCTGTGCTCCAGGTTCTGCAGGGAGGACAAACAACTTCTCAGTATCAGCTCTGCAAGCCCCTTCAAAATCTTGAATGGTTCAATGAGAAGACTTTGCATTTTCAAAACTCCAAAGAATATTGTCCTAATTTACTGAGCCTCTCTTAACAGGACAGCCCTCTCATACAAAAAATCAATTTTGACTAAAGATCCAACAATACCTCAATTTTAAAATTCTCAGCAGTTTCAACCCTTTTTTTCCATACTGCCACTGTTAGCCTCTCCTTCTCCTTGAACCACTGTCATCTCCTGCTACTGGATTCCCTGGTGGCCCTGCTCTGGTTGTCGATTTGAATGGTGAAATTATGATGTTAAGTGCAGCAAGGTCCCCGTTTCTAAGTTTCCAACACTTTTTGGTCGAATTTGGCTTTCCCCCATGCATGGAAATTTTGAAGCCAATGCATCTATTGCTCAAAAGGAAACAAATTACCAAATAAGACCAGAATCCAAAGTCAGAAATACAGAAGAGTTGGGGAATAAAAACCATAGTTGGGGATGTCTCCTAAAGGAGAATTTCTGCTGCATTTGAATGGGGAAATTAAGCGATTATGAACTATAGTTGGCATAACATTTCATCATCGAGTCTCCAGGCATTTCAGATAGACATTCTAAGTATAGTATTATTTTTTATTTGAGTGCCTGATTCAATTTGCGTGACAGGTAAATGTGTGCACTTTTTGTTATGCTTTTGGAGACAATAAAAAAAACTGTGAAACCTTCTCTATAAAGAATGAATTTTGAGCTGACATTTTAATTAAAGTTTTCCTCTCACTTGCACAAATAAGAAAGCTTGAGAGCTTCGGGAACAAATAAGACCTGAAGCCATAATGATTCATGACAATTGCATGCATTGGGCAATGTAAATCAGTATGGATTATCTTTGCTTTCATATCTAAACTTAATGGAGTAGCAGCACTGTTCTTACCTTAGGATCATGAATTCCTGAAAGCTCCTCGTAGGTTTTCTCCCCTACCATTACCGCAGCTAGATTAGCAGTGTACGTAGATAGACAGAACAAGCAGAATATAGCCCACAGGTTCATTAGGAACCGTCCTGTCCAACACTTGGGGGTTTTGATGGCAGCTGTCCTACCAAACAAAATGGCATAGCAGACATTGAGGGCTGAAGAAAAGGAGAAGACCTTCTTCCTGTTTCTCCCCTTGGGAGTCATTCCAAAAGGACTCTTCCATTCATACAGAGTTAGAAACAATGCTGTCACATGAAGAGCCACAAAGATCCCCACCCACATTGACCAATGCAGCGGCCACATGAAAGCTCCGAAGGGGGCTGTCGTGTCTCTAGTCCGCACCAGGATGCCTAGGCTGGTGGAGAAGAAAGGGCTGGTGAAATCAATCACCTTGCTTCTCGCTGAGTTGATGCTGAAAGATGTGACGGCCAAGTGCGCTGCACGGCTGAGCAAATCACCGACCAGCCCTGTCCAGCGGCCATTTTTCCAGCCACCATACTTCCCGTCGCCGACGATGTACAGGTCAAAATCAAAACTCATGTCATCTGCCAGCTTTTCAAGGAGATCGATGCAGTAGCCATAGCAGCACTTTTTATATTCGATTGGCACGGAATCATTCCCTGACTTTAAGTTCTCAAAGAGACCCTCGATGACGGTGGTATCATTTGTAAGAGCATCCAGGCACAGCTGACCAGCAGGGCAATGGCCATCCGCATCTACATTGCGTGTGAATACAAAGGGATGTTCGATAAGGGTAACTACTCTTAGATGCAGCCGAGACGATTGGCTGCCACCGCTTTTTGGCTTCTGCATCTTGTTGGGCCAAATCCCGTGGTCCATGACAATTTTCCCCTCATGCCATCTCCCAAGACGTGTCCACATAGGCTTCCCAACGGGGTCAAGCTGTAGGTTCCAGATGTAGTAATGGCTGTCTGAAGTGATAACAGATGGATCTGTTACTTTAACATAACCTGAGACGCCATCGAAGCTTGTGTTTGCTAAAAATCTGAGGGAAAGATGGAAAGAAAATTTTTGGTTTTAATTCTGTTTTCCAAGAGTAACTGAGCAAAATTTCTTGTACCTTGACATAAACTTAAACTGAATATACCTCACTTGCCATTACTACTGAGGAAATAATTTCAACAGTTTCTAACTCGGTCATTCATGAAAAGGGACCAACCCAGGGAGAAATATGAAAAATCTATTATGGCAGATTGTTAGTTTCCTTGAAAAACAAGTTGTACTTTAAGGAATGCAACAACACTTCAAGTAAAGTATGCAATTTTTCTTAGTGAAGTGTACACCAATTACACTTGTTAATTATTTTGGGGCGAAAACAGCGGAGGGGATGGGACGTGGCAAACGGAATTTAAGCAAAGTGCAACCAATAATTTGCTTCTCATTCTCCTTGCCATCCTCCATCTCACTGAACTCAGCGTATTTGTCCTTGCTTCATTCTCTAATCCAGCTTCCCGCAGTAGTTAGTTCAATGGTGTCAATATTATGCATTGAATTCACTCAAGCCTTCAGAGACAAAGCAAAGGAACACTGTTGGAATGCAGAATTGACTCAAGCTCCATACTGCAAATGAAAATGCTGTTCTAGTATAATGATCTGACTATAATTAATGGCACTCTTTTAAGCAGACTGTCTCAGGTCACAGTGTAATTGCTGTGTTGCCTTGTAATTGTCTCATTGCTTCCATTTACTTTGCAACAATTGGATATGAATCTGTGCTGAATGCAGTCAATGTGAACTGACAATGACATCCAGCTACACCAAAGGATGCAGGATATACAGACTATGAACTGGAAGCAAACAAACATTTAAAGGGCTTGAGGTAGTTGCTCATACTGGGTGAAGGTGAGAAGGTCTTCAAGGGGTTGCAGAGCTGATTTGCTATGTTTATAGTTCCCAGAGATGAAAGACTTCAGTGACATAGAGAGATTGGAGGAGTTTATAATGTTCTTAAGAGTCATAGAGTTATACAGCACTGAATCAAGACCCTTCATTCGAACCTGTCCGTGTTGACCAGATATCCTAAACTGATCCAGTACCATTTGCCAGCATTTGGCCCATATCCATCTAAACCCTTCCTACTTACGTACCATCCAGGTGCCTTTTAAATGTTGTAATTGCACCAGCCTCCAGAACCTTCTCTGGCACTTGTTCCATACATGCACCATCTTCTGCGTTAAAAAACTGCCCCTCAGGTCTCTTATCTTTCCCCTCTCACTCTAAACCTACGCCCTCTAGCTTTAGGACTCCTCTACCCTGGTGGGAAGAAAAACCTTGATTACTGCTGCACAGGACATTGGTTAGGCTACTATTGGAATACTGTGTGCAATTCTGGTCTCCCTGCTATCGGAAGGATGTTGTGAAACTTGAAAGGGTTCAGAAAAGATTTACAAGGATGTTGCCAGGGTTGGAGGGTTTGAGCTATAGGGAGAGGCTGAATAGGTTGGGGCTATTTTCCCTGGAGCGTCGGAGGCTGAGGGGATACCTTATAGAGGTTTATAAAATCATGGGGGGCATGGATAGGGTAAATAGGTAAGGTCTTTTCCCCAGGGTGAGGGAGTTCAAAACTAGACAGCATTGGTTTAAAGTGAGAGGGGCAAGATTTAAAAGGGAGCTAAAGGGCACCTTTTTCATAAAAAGGGTGATGTGTGTATGGAATGAACTGCCAGATGAAGTGATGAAGGCTGGTACAATTATAACATTTGAAAGGCATCTGGATGATTATATGAATAGAAAGGGTTTAGAGGGATATGGGCCAAATGCTGGCAAATTAAACTAGATTTATTTGGGATGTCTGGTCAGCATGGATGAGTTGGACCAAAGGGTCTGTTTCCATGCTGTACGTCTCTATAACTCTATTCACACCATCCATGCCCCTCATGATTTTATAAACCCCTATAAGGTCACCCCTCAGCCTCTGACTCTCCAGGGAAAAAAGCACCAGCCTATTCAGCCTTTCCCTATAGCTCAAACCCTCCAAGCATGGCAATATCCTTGTAAATATTTTCTGCACCCTCTCAAATTTAACAACATTCTTCATCTAGCAGGGAGACCAAAACTGTATGCAGTATTCTAAAAGTGGCCTCAACAATGCCCTGTACATCTGCAACATGGCATCCCAAATCCTTTATTCAATGCACTGACCAACGAAGGCAAGCATGCCAAATGTCATCTTCACCACCCTGTCTACCTTCAACGCCACTTTCAAGGAACTGGGTACCTGTTCCCCAGGTCTCTTTGTTCGACAACACTCCCCAGGGCTCTACCATTAACTGTATAAGTCCTGCCCTAGTTTACCTTACTAAGCTGGAACACCTCACATTTATCCAATCTGCTACTTCTCAGTCCATTGGCCCATCTGATCAAGGTCCCATTGTATTGTGAGATAACCTTCTTCACTGACCACCACACCAGTAATTTTGGTGTCATCTACAAACTTTCTAACCATACCTCCTATGTTCACATCCAAATCATTTATATAAATGACAAAAAGCAGTGGACCCAGCACTGATCTTTGCGGCACCTCACTGGTCATAGGCCTCCAGTCCGATAAACAACCCTCTACCACTGGCTTCGGTCTCCTACCTTCAAGCCAATTTTCTGTCCAATTGACTCAACCTGGATCCTGTGTGATCTAACCTTATTAAATAGTCTACCATGCAGAACCTTGTCAAATGCCTTGCTAAAGTCCATATTGACAACATCTACCATTCTGCATTCGTCAGTGTTCTTTATCATCTCTTCAAAAAACTCAAGTTAGCGAGACACAATTTCCCCTGCACACAGCTATTTTGACTATCCCTAATTAGTTCTTGCCTTTCCAAATGCATGTAAATTCTATCCCTCAGATTCGCGCCCAACAACTTCTCCTTGGAGTGACGGATGTTAAAAGGAGACTTGAGAGAGGTATTTAAAATCATGAAGAGTTTAAAATCAAAAGAGTTTGAGATAGGAAATAGAGAGAATCCATTTCCACTGCCAGAAGGGTCTGTAGCCAGAAGAGATTGGTTTGAAGTGATTGGCAAAAGAAACTCCAGCTACATGAGAATTTCTCCCCCTTCCTCCCCCAGCAAGCTGTTGTGACCTGGAATAGACTGCTTGAAAGGCTGGTGGGAACTGCTTCAATAGGAACATTCAATAAGGAAATGGATAAATAATTGAAGAGGAAAACATGGTATTTTGTGGGGCGAGAGCAAGTTAAGGGCTTTAGTGGCTTTTTAAGGGCTTTTAGGGGAGGCGATGTCCTGATGATATCACCGCTACACTATTAATCCATAATGCGCTGGGGACCCAGGTTCGAATCCCACCATGGCAGATGGTGGAATTCGAATTCAACAAAAACAATCTGGAACTAAAAATCTAATGATGATCATGAATCCATTGCTGATTGTTGGAAAAACCCATTGGTTCACTAATGTCCTTTAGGGAAAAAAACTACCATCCTTACCTGGTCTGGCCTGTTTATGACTTCAGACCCACAACACTGTGGTTGACTTAAATTGTCCTCTGGGTAAATAGGTCTAGGCAATAAATGCTGGCCTGTCAGTGATGCCCACATCCCATGGGTGAATAAAAAGAAGTGACTAGTTTTCACAAGGATTTGGCACAAACATGATAGGCCAAATAGATTCCTTCTGTGTGGTATAATTCAATGATTCGGAGAAAATATGCTGATGTTATAATCTGATTATAAGTAATGTAATTGTTTTGAATAGATTATTCACAATGTAATAGTGCAGTACACATCCCAATGATAGCAAGATATGGTGTTAGGTAAGAAGAGACCAAGTACACTAAAGATGGAATAATGGCAGATCAGTCTCAGGGAAGCAGAAATACACGAGTCTGGAAAACTGAAGTTCCTATGCCAAAGTACAGGCACCAAAAAGACAGGAAAAACAAAAATCCTGCAAAATACTACAATGTTGGGAAGTCTACACTTGAAAGCTGAATGTTTCATGAATTATCAATATAAGTTGATAGTATTATTGTTTGTTACATTCTCCTCACAGTTGTAATTATACTACAATGTTTCATTTGTTTATCATATGCCAGCTTTTATATGAGCACAACTTGAAAGACAAGGGCCATTTTTCTCTCGTTTAAACAACCACATTTTTTTGTTGCTGCCCCTTTGCCTGGTGAAGGGAACTCTTCATGCAAAATATAGCAATCCTCTGAGGGAAATGGTAGTAACCACTCACGTCTTGCATAATTTTCTTAGTCTTGTTTTTAAGATTATGGAATTTTGAACATTAATCAAGACAATATCCTGGAGATTATTGTTAACCAAGGCTTCTGAATAGCAACTTTGCTGTTTTTCTTCTAATGGTGTTTAATTAAAATTGCAACTTGCTTACACAAAGCAAGTCAGAAATAGATTAATTATTCCTTTTGAAAATGTTTGAAAATCTTTATCTTCCAAAGCTCGCAAAAATAAGCTAAATTAGCCTTTTCCCTTGAGAATTCTCAAATTTTCCTCATTACCACATGCAGTACTTACATTGCATAAAATTTTTATTAATCAAAATATATTCAAGTTCTTCACACAACATTTAGAGTTCAGGAATGAATGTTATGTGGCCAATGCTAGTAATATAGCATTCATTCTCCATAAATGCTAATTCTCAAAGGAAAGAAATCTACTTTTGTTTGCTTCTTAGTAATTTAAATTTCACTGTCCAAACATAATTGGAGGAAATTTGAGGAATACATATTTTACAACAATATTATCAAAAATGTTTGTTTTTTAATGATGTGTAATGCACCTGGTAGAGCCATTACTTGAAGGTCTTTTAAATTAATGTTTATTTTTGTCCAGCATTGAGTCTGAATTAAAGTGAACCATGCAGTCTTAGCACTTGCACCTATACTTTCTGCCCCTGGATGGATTAGAATTGTTCAATCAACTGCACTGGTGGAATATTTTTCCTTCCTCCTGTTGCTTTATGTTGAACAACAAATAAGTTTGAAGAAGGAGAAAACAGA